ATGAACGTTAGTATACGAGTGTTTCGGAAATACATCCTTGTATCAATATCGTTATCAACACTTTGCTGTATTACTTACAATATATATGTAGAATAGAAAAGCAGACTTGAACGTATGACCTTGCTGGGTTATATTCCCTTTTATTGTTCTAACAGGGCTTCGCTTCGGTCTTATAGTGCTAGCCTTAAGCGGTGCACTTTCCTAGTACAGCGAGGTTTTGTGATTTGGGAAATGTTTAAATTTCTGCCCGCTTACAGAATCCTGTACGGCGTAAATCAGTGATACTTTGTGTAATTAAAAAGCAAAATTTTTTTCTGGCGGACTTCCGTGGTGAATATCAGAGTAATGTTATAGCACGACGACATGCCGCACTGCACAGTTGTGCGCGTGCGGCGGGAATAACTATACCATAAAACGACAGGAAACATGAATTGCCAGCATGCCGCACCAAGCGAACTGGGCAGTGCACTTCCACTCATTTACAGTTCACTTTCAGCTACGTATTTACCGATGTTTCCCCGCTTTAATAATAAAGAATGTACGTACAAACAATTTTTTATTTTATTATGGGTGCAAAACTGTTCTGTAAAACCATTGTCAATAACTGCAACTCTAAAAAAAATATTGCCATGAAAACATAAGAAAAAGAGTAAAATTACTGGTATACTCTGCGCATTCCTGCGATGGTTGTCAGACTGCTCGAGGGTCCTACCAAAATTAAACTTTAAAATGCCAATTGGCTCCAGATACAGTGCATTAAAAAATAAGCATTGTAGATGAGTCGCGTACGCGGACTTACGGCCGTTTGACCGTCATAATTCTACTAACCAGGTAAGTTTTACTGTGCAATGTATTTCATGTGCAGATACGCTGAATCATTACAAAACGAACTTCAAAAATTAAAATCATCTCGATCCTATTCATTATCTGAGTGCAACACAACTGCTGCTTAATTCGAGGCAGTAATATTATAACGTCTCAGAAGCGTAATGGAAAATTGGAGTACAGTGACTGCAAACTCGTCTGCGGCAAGCGAATTACAAACTGAAGATGCTAAAATCTTTTAAATAATCATAAATTTTTTTAAAAAATAGTGATATGTTATCAGAATAACGGCCCAGTCTCGCCTGAAAACCAAGCCAACGCGTTCATGCTATTCAATCACATCATTCACACGGATAAGACAAACTGGCTCTTTAATCAAAACAAAATAATAAATAAGTCGAAATTATTAACGTACAAGTATATATTTATGCACTTATTTATGCCGACCATTAGTGGCCAATGCCTTCCACCGTCTGATACGAAATGTCCTTGGTCTGCAACCATTTATGCACACGCTTGCATTTAACTGCTGGTATCTTCTCGCGCTGATAAAAAGATGGCGTAGACATGTAAATTTTTAAATTTTTTTGCGTATTTTCTTATCGGCACAAAACAATTTTCGAAAATACTAATTCAAAAATTTTTACACAGTATACCGAAAGGGGAGGAAAATTAAAATTTTCAAGTATATAGAGTCAGCTGCCAGAATATGGCTAACAAGGCTGAGAAAACCGGGTAATAATCTAGGCCATTTCACTACGACACCGCCAACAAGCAAACAGTTTGTGCAGTTTGTAGGATAAGCTGCCGGGCAACCGGTGGAATTTTTCGGTAAGGTTGGCCCAGTGCTTCTACCGTACTGTTCCGACAGAATCATCCGCAATTACAATAGAGCTATACCTACATTGCCGTAACAAAACAGAATTCATGGGAAAAACAACAAGATAGAAAGACGTAAAATAATCCCCTCATTTCGCAGTAATCAAATTAATTTTCAAAATACAGATACAAGGCAATACATGTGCTTATATACGTAAAAAATGTCGCACTGATTTTTCAAATAATTTTAAAAATCTGCAAAAATCGCACAAATACAGAATCACCACAAGAACAATTTAACAAAAACAAGTTACTAAAATTTACTTAAATCTATACCAAATTTTACTATCATTGTCCATCAAATTGTTTAAAAAAATTGAAGATGCATAACAGATTTATCCAATGGCAGAAGAAACTTGTACCATAATTATGAATAAAATCTGTAGGGTAAATTCTGCAGGTAATAAATCATGGGTGGGTAGGTACTGTTTCCCCCGAATCAGAAGAAGTCGCCAAGCGTCTTCTCGTGCAGCGGCTTGAAGCCTGCTTCTGTGGTTTCTTCCAACATTCCACCAATATTACTGTACCAGATGCGAAGTGCTTTTGGAAGTGATCCGGCAGCCTGATGTCTGGTCGCGACGGATGCTGTTCCGCGCCGTCTACAATCGCCGGATCACCTGCACAACAATCAACATTAATTTATCCACCATTTAAATTATACTGAAATCTTAAAGCACATCATTGTTTCATCTAGTGAGATCGCGGAAAAAAAGCAGATACGAGGTACAACCTACTGTAAACAATCCGCCTGACTCAAAACCAATACAAAAAATGATTCTCGATTTAGCGAATTCACACCGGCAATATATATCTAGCAGCTTTACAGGAAAGCCTGAGTCAAAACGGCAGCAACTTGCAAACCAGCTCACTACGTTACCGACGACCAATGCAACAAAGGATTATGCATGGCACATTTGTGCATAACCCAAATAAAACATGATACATGGGCGCGCAGCTCTTCCGCCTTGGCCTTCCAAATTTGTTGCCACCGCAGAACGGTCAAATACTCAAGTGCGTCAAGAACAAGAACGATCCAGGCAGCATACGCATAACGCTCAGCGATCGCTGTATATTATGTTTAGACGGCGATTCCGGCTGCCGCTCCTCGCGAACAGCCCTCGGAATCGGGTGACCTCGCTGCTCAATTACATCGCTAGCCTCTTGTTGTTGATATAACCTTTAGTTGGCTCTTTCCGAAATTCCGATAATCGAGTTTTTTTTTATTTTGTGGTTGCTTTATGTTTCCTGATATTGCTCTGCTGGACTTGCCGCTGTTCGCGAACGGTTCAGGATGGAGGGCGAAACCGAGCCATATCGGAATAATTTCGACAGTCTGTGGCAGGCGCTGCTGGCAGGCGCTGTTCCAGGTGATTGCGAAACTTCCAGCGAGTTCTTCCTGATAACTAAGTTATTGTTATGTTTCTCGGTAATTTTAAGGTAAGGTGGAGTACAGTATCGACTGTGCCAAGCGCGCGAACAACTGTGTGCGTAGTGCGATATTTTAAAGCAGACGTAATACGAACTGTAAATAATGAAATTTTTCACCTTGCGAAAGCTACTGCAGCTGGGTATTGCTGTAATTTTACTTATCGTCAGTTAGTTACATGGAGCAAGTATGTGTCAAGTACACTACAGAGGCTGAAGAGGCGAAAACTGTAGAATAGTGGCTCTTAGTGGAACGTTACGTAAAGTCTTAACGTGCTTGCCGTAATAATTTGAAAACAATGAAATGTAACGAAAGAGAAGCTTCTTTCTTGTTTCTTTCTTGTTACAAAAAGAAGCTTTCTGTCGTTTTATTAAATAAAAATTTAAAACAGTATTGTGAAAGACATTTTGTAGATATTCCGTTCAGTATTTTCTTGACCATCACCATTGGCAATTTAGCCGACGCATGGGGAATAACGCAAGTGCAGAAGGAGGAGCTGCTGCAAAAGGCGTCGTCATCGCGTCAAGGGTCTCTGACATTGCCCACGGCGAAGGTGGCCATCGAAGCAAAGAATTCCAGCAGAATACCGGTTTCAGCAAAAAAATTATGCTGCTGCACCCGTACTCGATGTCGCTGTGGAGATTACTTTACCCCGTCCGGTGGCGATGACGAATGTTGCACTGCGTTGTGATGTTGAATTAATATTGTTTTTCTCTGAACCTTATCGCTGAAGTGAAACAAATAATTTAGTAAGTAGCTTTGTAAAAGAAAATATCTATACGAGTATCTATCTGTATGTGCTGGAAGTGCTGCTGTAACTGTGTGACAGTGTATATGCTTAGCTAGTATGTACGTCAAGTACTTTATCAAAATTTATATTAATTTATTACTTCCGGTCCATGTTTAACATTGCTCGAATTCGAAATTTTAGTACGTACGGTACTAAATTACGTAATTTAGTACGTCGTGTGTACATGTACGTACTCACTCGAGTATGCCCAAAGCCAACTCACGATACAAAGGCTGGATCGCTTTTATGATTCGCAAAATTTGTGGGGGTTGTAAACCACATCATTTGCACCGAGCGAGACCCAGGACCACTGATACATGGTGTTGGGTTTGTGTCCGTTTGTGGGAGAGCACTGAGAAAAGTGTTAAATGGCGCTCTTCCCTGCATTAAGCCTACAGCATCTCGTTGCGGTCGATGCAAGTAATGATATTATCACCATGGCAATGCAGATTATCGACTATGTAAGTATCTCGCACCGTAATTCCAGTGAAAATTTCACACGGCAGTTCGTTTGTGCATTGCCCAAGTTGTACTTTCTGGGCATTTTGAAAAAACTGCAATACTGTTGTTTTAAAATTTCAGTTTAAAAAATAATCAATAATTAATTGTACTTTTTGGGTAATTCAGATTTCTGTTCCATAATGCACCGGATTCCCTCTTTTCCCCCAACACAAATTCTGCTTTAGACCAGTAAGTCAGACTTGCATTCCTGTCTTAGACGTGACGTATTAACCGTGAAGCCGTGATTCCAGAGGATGCGCAGAGTCAAAACGCGGACTTACATCGAGCATCTGCGACTTACATCGAAACGAGAAATAGGCGTTTCAAGTCCCAATTGGCTGGGCTTCGATGTAAGTCACTTTTTGCTCGATGTCTGTCGGTGGGCGTCGACGAAAACCGTTACGAACATGGGCGTACCTTGTAACGGGTCTAAGCGACGCCCAGGTACTTACAAACTTCGTGTTTCCGCGATTTTTATTGGTGGGTCAACATTCTGAGTTAGATCGAGGCTGCCCACCGCCAATAGCAAAATTCCAAACCACGTGGTACTGCTTCAATACTTCAAGTTTTAATTGAACCACTGTTTTCGGTTTTTTGAATAAAAGTTTTGTTAGTCTATCCTAAAAGTTGAGTTTCGGCTTTAAATTAGGATCTCCTGAATTTGTCTTTCTTATCGGGATAACTGCTGGTGGTAACCGGCCATGAGCGGACAGGTTCAGATCGAAGCTGCAGGCACGAGCAGTAGCTTAGTGCCTTCCGTGTTAATCCCATCAGCACCAACGGGTTTACCTGCGCAGGGTTCCCTGCTTTCCGCTGGCAAGCCAGCTGATACTGAAGCTAACGAAACTACCAGTAGTTTACAAGCGGCCATCCGTTCCACAGTGGCTAAGCAGTACGCTGTAAACAATGCGTATCGGAAGCCTAAAGGGAAGAAACGGCCTAATGCTGATGACGACCAGAGTAAAGACAGGCCATCCCGCAGGCCACAGCCACCCAACGAAGATACGCTCAAGAAGCTGCGAAACGTTGTGGAGGTTAATCCCTACAGCCATAGCGTGAAGGACAGCCACGACGCTTGGTGCGAGGTTGTGCTGCTCAGTCGCGAGCGGATAAGAAACGACGCGGGGGACTTAGTGGTGGATGCAAGTCCCGTTCTTTTCAAAGAGATTCAGAGCCTGAAAGCTTTGGTTCGTCGGAATTCAACAAAATTTAACGAACGTCATGTGCGAATCACCGGCACTGAGGAGGAATGGGAAGAATGGGACAAACTGATGGAGCAGATAAAAGAGTATTCTGAATGTGTGCCATTGTCTACTCGGGATCCCGAGAAAGCAGCCAGGGAAGCCGGCCTACAGGCGCGAATCCGCGCTACTCAATTGGGTATGAAAAGTGGAACAACCAAAGAGTCCTGGGACGCTGCGGACGAAGACCAAGCTCGAGAAGATTTGGAGTTTGATATGGGATTGACGGATCATCCCGATGATTTGGCCGGGAATCTTCGCTTTGACGGTAAAAATAAGTTCAAATTTATCTTCTCTCGCTAAGAAATGTGAATTCGTTTTTTGGATTTTGTACGCAGAAAGTAAATTAATTATCTCCTGACATATTGGTTCTTGTTTGAAAGATCTTAAAAAAAATTTATTACCTAAATATTTTGCAGTTGACGAGTTAGCAGATTTCAACGAAGATGGTACGGTTGCGGTTTTTACGGCTAGCCGCAAGAATGGGGTACCCCATAGCGGAACCAGAGGAGAAACAGTTGTTGCAGTAGATGGACAGGCACAATTTCCCGAAAAGCAAACAGCGGCAACCCGCGACGCACGGCTACCCGGAGAACGGTCAAGCGTATCGGAACCTGCATCCCCTGCAAGTGAGGACGAGCCCTCTGCTGCTGGTAGTGATGTCACTAAGAAAGTCGCAAACAGCAACTTCGTTGCGAAAAAACTGTCTAAGCCAGACGAAGCTGCAGCAGCAAGAAAGACTCATCAAAAGAAATTGTCAGAAAAATTGCGTCAAGAGCGAATAGTAACCAGTCGTCAACAAATCGTACAGACATTTACAAGCTTGAATAAAACTGTGGCTCGGATGGAACATGGTGACTCCGAAGAGCGCCGGTTTGAGCGCGTAGAGCGTACAAAGGACAGGGAAGCCGAACGGGAATCGCGACAAGAAGACCGCGCTCTTCAATGGAAGTTGGCGCAACAAGAGGCGGAAATCAAGGAAAAAGACCGCCTGGAGCGCATCAAGAAAGAAGAAGAAGACAGACTCGAACGCAAAGAAAGTCGAGATCAACAGTTTCAACTACAGAAGCTTGAAATTGAGGGCCGCAACAAACAGCAGGAAAGAATGTTAGATATGATGGAGAAGTTTGTCAGCAAAAATTAATTATTTTTGCAGTGCTTTTACCTGCATTTACGATTTGATACTGGCTACCCAGTTGTCTGTAGGGAAGCCTACACCTTTTATTAAATTTAAAAGCGCAAGTATGTTTCTAAAGACGGCGGCTGAAGGCCAAACTTTTGAAAAACAAGTTCAAAGCCGTACATGCAAGTCAAGCAGTTTGCTAGAACTGCTGAGACCAAATATGCTTTTGCAGATTGCTGCCAAAACAGTTTCTGATTTTCGCGGTAATTTCCAAATGCAAACTGCGTGCATATACGCTGAAAACCTAATTCCACGATCAATCGGCATTTTGACATGACGAGGTTGAAGGCAATCTCCGCTTCGCTTATATTGCCGCCTTTGTATGGGCTCTGGACCTCAGCACTTATACTGTACCCTTTGTCCCCAAAAATACAGTAATCTTTTCCCCAAATAAGATTCCGCAAACGTAATCGGTGTCGTAATTTTGATGCACCGAGCATGTACATATCGTGCCGCCGTCCTTCGCAAGGGCCATACATATTTACAATTAAGCCATCCGGAGCAACTAAGCTCTGAAATTTGATAACATGTCCGCGGTAATGTCCAGAATAATACTCTCTCTGCAGTCTTCCTGGGCGACAAATCGCACGTGCAGTTCCGTCCACAAATGCCCAACAGTTATCTAAATAATAACACAAAATCTGGCTAGCCAGATGAGCAGGCATCCCTGCTTACCATTTATAGAAAATGGTTACCGTATCTTCCGCCCGACGCCCGATGAACAGCTGCTGCATATGCCGCGATGTTATCAGCGCCCAGCCAAGGTTGTCCAAGAGATCGCAACAAATGGCCGTGTTTATCATAAAGAAAATTTATGGTTGCATTAAATATCCTCGATAACTGAGTTGCTTCTCTTCCAAGTAAATCGGCGCAGTCACGCCAGCGATTTGGGTAAGCAAGGCGACGCAGAACCACAGCAAGTGCAAATTCTCCAGATACTTGGCACCGGTTATCACAGCTTATTGTGTCCGGAATTTGAAGACACTGAGACAGGCGTTGAAAATCTTCGTAGGATTTTATTCGGAAAAAGTGGCGCAGACGATCGCGCGGCATAGCTTTCAAGTCTAGTTCATGCCGTACATAAAATTTCTCAAGCTCCCGATCCAATTCATCCGCAAAATAAAGAGCGGAAGCATAAACCATAGAACGCACCGCGCTCTTCTTAAATTTCTTCCGCTTTTTTATAACAACTTTGCTGCTACGAAACTGCCTCCTGGCTACCCAGGGAAACATCCTGACGGCTACCCGTTCGAGACAAAATCAACAAAACTTCTGTTTTAGTTCGGTTTCTGCTGAAAAAATGTGATAATTTCAATAGACGTGAATAAATTTGCGCTCTTTTGATATTAAGTAGGGTGGCAGTTACGTTCGTTCTGCCGTAAATAGTTTCTTGTGATTTGGTAAATGCTATCAAAACGAATTTATCTTGTTGTAACAAAACAATTTTAAAAAGCTATTACTTTAATTCTGTAAAAAAAAACGCGACGGACAAGTAGATCAAAAACAAAAGAGATAAACGAATGAGACACATGTTGGTTACAACAGAAAATTCCGATGTTTCTGTCGACATCATGACAACCTCAGAATATCAAAAACCCACAGTCGGCTACCCGACGGCGCAGGCTACCCTGCGGATGCTACTTTTGGTTACGCATAGTGCGCACGGCTTCGTCCCATTCTTCGGCTTTCCGCAGATCTTCGCGGGCACGCTCCGTTTCTACCCGATTGTCCTCGCGTTGCCAGCGGGCATCCATGGCAGCGTCTTCAGCAGCACGAGTCAGCTGCAAGTTGATATCTTCCTGACGGCGGCGGAGATCACGAGCAGCGCGCTCTTCGTCACGACCACGACGGCAAGCGTCGTCTTCGACAGCGCGGGCTTCGCGGATACGACGCTGCTCGGCATTTTTCATGTGAAGGAACTCCTGGAAGCCGCGCGAGCGATCACCATCCCGACGAGTAGGACGCCGACGCAACCGTCCGAAGCGCGGCGTATTTTCATCGTTTACGGCTGGCAACCCATCGCGCTGCATGTTGTTGTCTAATAATAGTAAGCAGATTCGATGAGTATCATTTTTAATATGTGGTTAATTGTTTTCTTACTCTGTTCAGCGAATTGAGCGTTCCCTGCTGGGTAGCCAGCACCAGCTGGGTTGCCAGCTCTTTCGGGTGCGTGGGCGCTTTCGTCAGGTTCTAGAAGGTACACAATTCGCTAAAACTATTTTGCCATTGTGTTAGAAGTGCTCTCACCGTTCAGCTCTTCTCCGCCGTTGCGGCCTGCTGGATAGCCAGCATTTCCAGCTGGGTTGCCAGCAAAAATATTCGCGGAAATATGCAGCCCATCTACAAAAACTTTCTCATTTGTAGCCAGTGCTGCAGTACAGTACTTAGTAGCAGACTCACCGTTTACTGATTTGACGGCAGTTTCAGCTGGATTCCCAGCGATCTTCTGGATAGCCAGAACATGGCCAAGCGCTGCAAATTTATTTGTTTCACTTTACACAAGTACTGAATAAATATACCAAAACAACAGAAGGTGTATTTACCTGTCTCGATTTTCTTCAGTCCTTCCAGCAGTTCTTGCTGAACTCCCTCCTCTGGCGCTAACACGCTAAAGCTGGATGAGCGAGACAGATCGGCCATGCTGGAAGCGCGGCTCAGCATTAAGGGTCGAGGGAGCAGTTTATGTTTTTCAACCATATTTACGTTAGGGCAACTTATCTTTATTGAGTTCCAGGCGACAAATTAGTCACTGAGCTAGACTAATGTCATAAGCTGACAATTCAAAACAGCAGAGATGAAATGTTTCAAATTCTGAACCACGGGGAACTATTTAGTATTTACGTTGTCACTTTGAGTTGAACACGTGCTCTTGCATGTAAGTATGTGCAGCCGTTTGCGCATGCAGTCCGGCTTAACACAGATAGACTTACACACAAGCCGTGCAAAAGGGCGCGGTTTTGCCTACTTTGTATGTAAGTGCACGCTGAGATTCCTTGTAAGTAAGTCCCCGAAGCGCCTGTGCGGATCTGGTCTATTGATTGCCGTGTTACGCGTACATCGATTTCGCCCGTAAATTGCTTAAACTCACTGTACAGGTCAGCTGGTTGCTCACTCACGTAAAATGGACATCAGCGCATGGCTAAAGCCGCAAAACCGGTTTTGCGGCTTTAGCCATGCGCACCTGATCGAGTGAGCGGAGACATAGAACAGAAGAGCGGCTGTTGCTGGTGAGCAAGCTGCTGGCCCGTAAAGCGAGCTTGAACAATTTACGGGCGAAATCGATGTATACTGTATCTTTCGATCACCGAATAAGTACAGATAAGTTGGCACTTGGCAGGCAGTTCAACTTTTGAATTGCAAACATTTAACTAACGTGGCGCTTGAGTTGAACTTGCATTAGGCTGCATTCATGCAGTCAGCTGCAATTTAGCACAAAATTTGAAAAGCTCCAAATTTAATATGAAATGCACGCTCTCCTAATTAAATCTGTGCACCGTCCACTATTATGTACAACATGATGTCTTCGTATCAGCCATATATACATTTAGCAGCGCTTTCGTAGCCGGCTGACCATGCTTGCTGCTCACGAGTCATGGCCACCTTTCGGGGGCTTTCTCTAACGTGGTAAACTCTTTCGTCACTGAATACTGGCGAGTCGTATCGCTGGCCATGTCGTTTTAGGAACGTGTAAAACAAGTTCTACTCCCAAACATCTGCTGGAAGCACACAGTTAACCCTTCGCCGCAGCTTACCGGAAAAGTCCAACAGGTCCTCCACAGCAGGTGAAAGTTAGCGGCGTTTTTTCTGTTCGCTTAGGGCCACCGCCGGCCGGAAAATTACCTAGGCGCATCCTCTCCGTTCTGCAGCAGATCGCCAAATGTTCTCGCATCTTTTTACTGCTGAAGGAATTTGGCTTCTACCGGTCGTCTTTGGTAAGTGATTTCAATCGCAAAAGCAATGGCAAAAACGTCACAGCCATATCCAATTTTTCGCTGCTGTACTCGAGGAAACAAAATGTCGGTCAACTGGCCTGCGTGGAATTTTATAGCTTTTTCTAGCAGCCACTACACATATCCGATCGGGATTGTGCCAGGGACTTCTGTGTGTATCTGTCAGTACTTTTCAATACAGGCAATTATTACCGGGTTTACTTATATCAGCTTTTAGAGCTCATGAACGCATAGTACCACTATACGGAAATCTAATTCGCATTTAATTCCGCGATGTACATTTGTTTTGAAAATCTTTCGATTGAAATGTTGGAAGAGCTAAACGTTCGATTTTAAGAATAATAAGAATTATGAAAATTTTAAAAATTAACCCACTCAAAGATCAGACATACACATATTTTTATACAAAGAAAGCGCTCAAATGCACGTCGTTTTTACTGGTATGATCAAAACATGTTTAGCTCAGCATTCTTCCGGTGGGCATTAAAAAATAACTGAATTTTGTTTACTTCTGTTTTATGAAGACAAAACGAATCCACACTGGCTGCTTGCTCAAGCGCAGTTGATAATATTATGAACAGCTTGCACACAATCTAACTGCATACCGGAGAGGCGAATTCTCATAATACGTAACATCCTACGACATCCTCAGACCGAAATTAATTTCCGGGTGCGCGAACGACAGTAATAATAGTTACACTCAATCTTCAACTCCCCGCAGGGAGATGCAACTCCTTGGAGCTAATTGGCCCCGCCTTGCGGCTTGATTGGTCGCTGTAGTCAGAGTTGCAACTACGGTCTACGGCGTAGACCAGCTAAATAGCTGGTGTAGCTTCACCGTGGACGCACCCCGACCAAACTAACTTGAATTTTCAACTTTTGATGCCATAGACAGGCAAAAATTTATTTCGTGCATTTCTATAAAACGAAGTTCATTAAAGCTATTCAAAAAAAGTAAAACTTTTCAAAAGTAAATTTTTTGTTTCTTTCATCCTATCGCAGATATTTGTACGTTGTCATAAGAAAACAGTTTTAAAATGTATGAAATGAAATTTCTCAGAACAGCTTAAAATTTTGCGTATCTTATTCCGTAAAAGAACAACTCCGGACGCGCAAAGCTATGGAAACCACTCTCAATCTTTGTTTTTAACTTGAACTGGGAGACATTTTCTTATTCGCTGCTTTAAACACTCCCCCTGTCCACGGGGTTGCCAGCCCGTGCAGGGAGTTGAAGATTGAGTGAGACTAATAATGTTATTATGCTTGTAGTGATATTGTGAGTGTGCACGTTGTTTTTTTGTTGCTCGCCACAAATTGTACGTACTTCTATTGCGCTGGGTGTTCCTAAGCAATGGCGAGCCCGAAATAGTGCTGTTCATTAATGTACAGAATATCTATATTCGTTGTGCTGGCGTACGGAACTTTTCGTCTTCTCCAGATTTACTGCGCGATTTCTATCGCAAGCCGCATTATTGGGTGCAAGTACTGTGTAGCGTTCGACATTGTTTCATACGATGAACTTTATTGTAGGTACAGTACGGAAAACTAAGAAAACAATAAATTGTACTTTTATTATATTCAGTAAAAGGGTATCAAACGGATATCAGGATATCACCCATAGGGCTTAAATAAGAGTAAGCATTTATAAAATTATATCATATCATTCATTTATAAGCAATATTTATGTCAATATATGACTCATAATATGAGTCATACTTACCGGTATTTGGGCTCGCGGTTTGTTTCGGTTCGGCTCGCTTGGCCCGCCTCACCCGCTTGCTTCTCCTTCTCTTTGGCAGCCGTCGCCGCCGCCGCCGCTTCCCTGATCCTCACTTTGGACATGGAAGCTGAAATTTGCAAGACGTCCCGGTCCTCCTTGGCTGATGGAACGACGCCGTTCTCCTCGCCGTCCTTCTGGCCGGTCGAGTACTGGCGCTGCGCTTCGGCCAGCTTCGGACAGAAGCGCACTGTGTGCCCACTGTCCTGACACAGAAAACACAGGCGCTTGCTTCTGGTCTTGGTAATTCCTCCTCCCCATCCGGGCATTCTGTCGTCCCCGTCCCTGCCACCACGCCCGGGGGGGGGGGGGGGGGCACATACCGGTATACGGTTCGGGTACTAACATATTGCTTCGGCATTTGTTTTTCTATGACATTATCTTTTTCTTAATCATAATTTTTTAACGAGGATTTTTTAGCCAAATGGCCCCAAAAAGTCAGATCCATTGTAGTGGTTTCGTTGCGAAGATGAATGGTCCGGATAATGCGGGAACTGCCTGAGAAACTGCTTCCGAGGAGCAACAAAACTGTTACCAAGACTATCGAAGTGGTCTTGATAAGTGGTTTTGGTAGCAGCTTCCTATTAGCAACCACCACAACCAGTGCGTAGTGCTTTGCACTGTTCGCATCTTCGGTCTCGTATAAAACTGGACGATAAACACATCCGCACCAACGATGCGTTTGAAGGCTTTGCTGTAAGTTAACTTCGGTTCATCGTGTGCTCCCAATCTTGATAGCTCTTCAGACCGAAAACGCTCTGGAAGCAAAAGATCACAATCCTAGCACCGGTCTCCGGTCCTCTGAATACGCTACTCTGACGTTAATATGGTCCGCATAAGCTTAAGGAGTCACGGGTTTGAAACAGTTCACCAGCAGTTCACACTTAACGTATGTAGGCAGTTAGTGGCTTCTGCTCCCGCTAAGTACCAGCCGGAATCAACGCAGGATGTATCAGTATGTGAGCGGTAGTTTTCTGATTGGTGCGCACCCAGACAGGTGAGGGCGGTTGCAACAGTGACAGTGCGACCGCTTCCGACACCCAATTTTCTGGAGCCTGCCCTTGGTCCAAAGATGGTAACGACAGTACGCTAAAGTCATAGCACACTGTCTCGTTACCTGAAAAAAAACACCCCAGGAATTAGTCACACAGTTGACTCAATTACCTAATTACACTTACTCGTAGCACAAAGGTGGCATATGTGAATTGTGAATCGTAAACCTTTTCGAAAAAGTGCGTGTCACTTTTGTAGAAAATGGTCGTTGAGTTCATGGTCCCAAATTGCAATCCAGTACATAACACGGAAACTTTGGCTGCGTGACATAAGTACACACGTGGCGCAAAAGATACAAGCTGCATGCCCTGCTCCTTCATATACACTACGATACAGTTTTTTGGCATCTAATACTCCAGATTTATGTGTCGTGATTGAACGGAACAGCCGTAAAAAACATTAAATTTTGATTTTTTTAATTTTTTCCTTATTTCTTGCAACAGCAAAATATTATTCCAGCGGCAGCGCCACTAAGCGGACACTAGAGGCTACAGCGGGTGATAATACTGGTTAATTAAGTTTTATATTTCCATAATTTTTTGAAAAATAATATAACTAGAGTTGACTGATTTCTTTCTAACTCCTTGCCCTTTCAAGCTTCGCAAAATAATTGCACTTTATCGGCAGAAATTAGTCTGTAAAATTTTAAGGATGGCAATAATGGTGTTGCACCGCAATGCGGTTTTTGAGCGGCCAGCGACCCGCTAGCACTGAATTGGTTTGTTTCATCAAACCAGCAGTTCCAAACAGCTGCTCTCTTGAATAACGAAATCTAACAGACTGCGTGAACATTCAGGTCATTCAACACTTTCCGTGTTCTCAGCAACAATGTCATTTCAATCGCGTTAAAGACAGCCCTAGCAATTATCAGTACTTCTTCAATAAGTCCCTTCACAGTTAGGCCCCACTCTTCCAGTTCTGTGTTGGCCATCGTTTTATTGACCTCCAGTACTGGCGCAGTCGGCGCAGATACAATTAGCGACGGCTAACAACACCGTTTAAAATCTGCAAATAATTATTCTCTATCTTATATATTTATTCTGCAGTTAATTTAAAACCTACAACACCTTCCGATGGAATATAGTGCTACAACATGCAAGTATTCTAGAATTTCAGTGCATTAACGATTCGATGATACTGTGTCGGTA